CTTTCCACTGATTTTTCAGAGACAGTGGAAGGGAAGGAGGAGGGGGAGAAAGAGAGAGGGAGAGAGTTTGAGAGACATTGATGTGAGAGAGACACATCAAACGGGATCAAACCTGCAATCAAGGCATATGCCCTTGACCGGGAACTGAACCCAAGACCCCCTGATCCACAGGCTGATGCTCCAACCATTGAGCAAAGTGGCCAGGGCTCAATCCCATTATTATTATTTTTTTAATGGAGAGAAAAAAGTCATTGGCACCTTGAGCAGAAGAGATGTGATGGGGGAAATGAGGCAGACTGAGTGGGCAGGAGGACTGGGTATCAAAGTGGTCCTTTCAGAGCCCCTACCTGCTGGCCCACAGGACGATGCCAATGTGGAATGGAAGTTTGCTCGCTCCGAGCTCTACCTGTCCTGCTTCCAAGAGGACCTGACCCTGCCTGTGCCCTTCAACAGCCTGCTCTCCCCCAAGGCTGTTTTCTACCTCCTCAGGGATGACCTCAGAGCTCTCACTTCCAACCCCAGCACCCAGCACCATCACCCCACCTCCTGCCCCCACTTCCCTAGACCCTGTCCTCTGAACAACCTCTCCCCACCACCTAAATCTCTCAGGAGAATTTTCTGGTTTGTTTGCTCTTGCTGCTCCTGCTGCAAATCCAAGAAGCCACACTATCCCGCAACCCCCACCTTTGTGAGCACCTCCACATCAGCCCTGACTTCACCTGTACTGTCTCTTCCATCCATTTGTCTGCACACCCTGGCTTGTCTGTCTTTGCAGGTGTGTTCCCTGGAAAGCCTGTTCCTAATTCCTGCTCTCACACAGCCTGTCTTTCCCTCTCCCTGGCTCTGGTCGTTTCCTAAATTTCCAACCCTGTCATCCAGCTCAAACAGAAGTCCATGCCCCTCTCCTCCCCAGCCACCAACACCCTGTGAGCTCCAGACAAATCTTTTTGCCATAAACTGGGCCAAGACATGGTTTAATGTTTTTTTTAAAAACCCACAAAAAACATGTTAAGAAGCTGAGGGAAAAGTGCCCCACAAACTGGGAATTAGAAGGCTGACAGAGGCCTAAGAGAGGAGGCCAGACCTCCAAGGGGCTCACACACCTCTCCTTATCTGCCCTCCAACTCAGTCTGGCTTGGCATGGGAGTCCCTACCTAATGTATTTATTTTTATTTTTATTGATTGCTTTCTTTTAGAGAGAGGGAGAGGAAGGGAAGCGAGAAAAGGAAGAGAGAGAGAGAGACTGACTTGTTATTCCATTTATTCATGCATTCATTGGTTGATTCTTATATGTGCCCTGACCGGGGATTGAACCTGCAACCTTGGCATATCCGGACGACATTCCAACCAACTGAGCTGCCCCATATGCCAGAGGAGCCCTTCCCTAATTTAGACAGTATTACTGCCAGGTCTAGCTATTCCCCTTAAAACGTATTACCCTGCGGATCTCTCTAAGCAAGGGTCTCCAGGTCAGCACTACAGGGCAACGGGCCAACTCTGGAGCTCCGAGGTCCCTGGATCCCCAGGTGAGGAAGGCCTTCCCTTATCTGGTTGGTCAATAGTTTGTTCAACAAACATTCACTAAGCACCTGTACTGGAAACAAAGGTATGCATACTGGTGGTCCCTCCAGGTGCTGACAGTCTAGAGTAGCAGAAGGAAACAAACTAATTGTACAGGACGCCCACCAGCCTATGATGGAAGGAAGCACAGGGGGCTGTGAGAGCACAGAGGAGAGGGCCCAGCCCCGGCCCCAGAATCAGGGAGCTTCCTCGAGACCTAGAGGGCAGGACAGAATCCTGAAGGATAAACAGGAGGTTGGTGGGGCAACATGGAGGAGAGGGAGTTCTAGGCACGGGAAACAGCATGTGCAAAAGCTGGGGAAAACACGACACTTGCGAGAAACTAAATGCCTGAGGTCCCCAGTTCCCACCACATCCTGGCTCCAGGCTCCCCGGCACGGACACCTCGGTCACCCTCCTGGAGCGCTGATCCAAATTCTGGAAGTACCATCCTTTCCCCCTGGCACTTCCTGGGCCTGTCCAGGCTGCCTGATGACATTTGCAGACCACATGTCAGGGCTGCTTCCACGCGAGGGTGAAACTCGGCTACTTCACCCGAGGTCGGATTCAGTTCTCTGGGCCTGTGTCCAGTCCCGGTTGGGCAGAGTCACTGTGTCCTGCAGGGTCCTCTGATAGCAGCCAGCTGGGGGTCTCCCCATTCCTCCACTGAGGTCCCACCCTTCTTGCAGCTACCCCACCTCCTGGCCTGCTCTCTGATGACCCGCCCAGCGGTCCCCTCCCACTTACCCTGCATCCTCAGGTTGGCCTCCCAAAGTTCCTATTCTTTATTTTACACAGGAAAAGGCTTTCTATGACCTGTAGCTGAAAGGGCCCATCATTCTCTCACACTTCTGCCTGTACCATTTCTGCAATTCCATATCTCCTTTTCAAATATTTAATAAAATGCTCTGCTTTTTTATATCATAAAAGTAAATATGCGAACTATAAAATATTCAGAGAGAGGATAAAACTAGAGGAATAAAAATAATTATTTTCTAAATATTTAGGGGGCCCCTACTCTACGTTCCTCCTCCTGGAAAGGAGGCATTATTACCATCTCCCTTTCAAATTTGGAAACACTCAGGCCTAAAGAAGTTGAGGAAGTTGCCTGAGGCACACAGCTGCTCAGCGCTGGGATTTCAGCCCGTGTTCTTTGAGTCCAGCACTTTGCCTACTCTCTCTACCTCTGCTCTCTCTCTCTCAAGTCTCTGCCCCCTATGGCCTACTTGCCCTCCTGGTACTATGCTGAGGCCTAAAACCCGGCCCAGAACCATTCAAATTTGCATGATGATTTCCGTGTTTATACATGAGCAGGTGCCTCCCCAAATCCCCTGCAGAGTTTGGATTAACTCAACTCAGGAAAACCAAGGTTGGGATGGTGGCAGGAGAGTGAGCTCAACTCTGCCCTGCTCAACATTTCTGTCTCTGCCCACTCACCGCTCCACCTCCCAACCCTCACCCCACCACCCAACTCCTGGCCTCCATCCTTCTACATTCCAGGACTGCACCAGGATCTAGACGTGTGGCCTTAGGGACAGAAAAGTCTGCACCAACTTGGTCTCCATCCTTCATTGCCTGGGGGAGGGAGCAGTGACTAGAGAAAGGCTGGCCTGGAGAATCTCCCTCACCCTATCTTCCCATCCCAGGCCAACCCTGGGGCAGGGGCAGGGGCAGGGCCTGGGGAGGGAGAGTGTGGATCTACCACCTTTGAGTCATCAAGGCTCTGGTCCAGTGCTGCATAGAGACTGCCCTGGGGGAGTTCAAGATTGGTTGCTCACCTCCAAGCCTTCCCTATTTCTGCTCCTTGCTGGCTGGGATAAATGCACCATACCCAGACTCACACCCCTTATCCATCCTGTAATCATATGTGACACCATCCTACCTGCACTTAGAAGCCACAGCCTGCACAGTGTAGCCCCTTGCCCTCAATTACCCTCTGAACCATTTATTTATTCTTTTCATTTCATTTATGTGTTCACTTATGCTCACCTATCCCTTAGTCATTTTACTCATATACTTAGTTCATTAGTCATTCACTTATTCATTCACTAGAGGCCCGGTGCACGAAAATTCGTGCACTCGTGGGGGAGGTCCCTCAGCCCGGCCTGCATCTTCTTGCAGTTTGGGACCCCTTGGGGGATATCTACTTGCCAGATTAGGCCCACTCCCTGGGGGATCAGGCCTAAGCTGGCAGTCAAACATTCTTCTGGCAGCCCAGGAGCTCTTAGGGGATGTCTGACTAACGGCTCAGGCCCACTCCCCACAGGGACATCCTTAGAGCTGCCACGGATCCCGGATCCCGCTGCCACCACTGCTGCGCTGGCCAGCCATGAGCTGGCTTCTGGCTGAGCAGTCCTCCCTCTGTGAAGTGCACTGACCACCAGGGAGCAGCTCCAGCATTGAGTGTCTTCCATGGTGGTCAGTGCGCGTCATAGTAACCGCCGTTAGGGTCAATTTGCATATTATCCTTTTATTATATAGGATTCAATCAACATTCATAGCCATGCCCCCTTTGCCCCAGGCCCTGTCTTGGAGGGAGGGGGACTGTAGAGCAGGGACACATAGGAAGCTTTCAGTCTGGTGAGGAAGTTAAAATTGTCTTATTAGGCAGAAGGTGCTTTGCTAAGAGAGACACAAACTGCAGTGGGCCCCAAAGGAGAGAAGGAGCCTACCATTTGAGAGGTTCATGGAAAGGAAGAGGGACAGCATACCAGAAGTTGAGAAAAAGGAGGTGGAATCTGAACTCGACCCTGAGGATGGCTACGCGTGGACCGGTGTAGATGGGGAAGAGAGCTGACAGGGCAGATGCACAAATCTCTACCTGTTAAACACTTTCCCATCCTTAGGGCTCTTGATCCCATTGCTGGACCACAGACTTTCCTTCTTTGTATCTTTTAAACTCACCACCACCTAGCCCCACTCATATTCATCTGCCCCAGACTCCACCTACCTACTAGACCCCCTTCAGAGAGAAAGGGCGAGGGAGAGAGGAATAGAAACATCAATCCCATTTCTCCCCTAGGAGCCCCAAGCATGATGTCCCCTGGGGGTCTGTGGAGGGTAGAAGTGGTACAAGGCAGGTTCATCTTCTGAGGGACTTCCAATCAATGCTTCCCCCGCCCCATCCTCCCACAGACCTGGGCCACAGACTAACAGGCTGACCGAGACTGTCTCTTGACCGCAGAGTGAGGTAGCTGGTGTGCAGTGGACTCTGGCAGAGGAAGGGTCACCCGAGTGTGCAACAGCTTCCAAAACCTGGGGCCTCCCATCCCTGAGACCCCAGAGCTGACAGTGCTAGGGATTGCGGGGACCCAGGTATCTTCAGAAACTGGGCTTCAAGATGCTGGAGGAGGTGGGTCTCCAGCACCTGGAAAGTCTGGTCCCTGCCCACCACCCCCGCGGTTCCCTGCCCACCTCCCCCCCACCAGCTCATGTGCTGGTGCATACGCAGCAAGAGTCAGAGGGGGCTGGGGACCTGCTCAGAAGGAAGATCTGGGAACCAAGGAGGGTTCTTGCTGCAGTGGGAGGGCTCCTTCTGTGGCTGACTAGGGCAGCTACATGCTGAGGGTGGGGGTCATCTTGTAGGAGCCTGCACTGCATTCCTCACCTCGATAAGGTTTCTGTTCAGGATGTCAGATACCTCCAGGGTGTATGAGAATCGCTGTCTCTTCATGTTTTATGACCCCTTCCCTCCCCCAAAACAGACCCTTGTGGGAGCAGGGCAGAGAGAAATGGTTTGTTCTGGGGCCTCAAGTATCTTGGGCTTAGGATCCTACCTTGAGTTCCTTCAGCTCTTTAGTGCAAAGAGTTCTGGACTGCGAAGCAGGGGGCCTGGTTTCAACACTAACTCCTGACCTTGAGCAAGTCGCTTTCCTCCTTGGCTTTGCCTTCCTCATATGACGAATGAGCCGAGGAATCCATCTGTCCCCTTCCTGCCTTCAGAATGTTGAGAGGAACCTCGGGCTGTTAAAGCTTCTGGGTGTGACAGGGGTCTGCACAGGGGACCATGTCTAATAGAGAGAAAGAAGTCATTCTTTTAAGTCCCTCAGTCCTGCAAGGCCAGAGCAGGGCAGATGGTCCAGTCTCATGGAATAAACTGATCATGAAATTCGATGTCACCACACTCCAACACTGTTTAATCAAGAGGTCATCACAGCACTACCTTTACTTGTCCCAGGGAGTCTCCACCCTGCCATGGCCTCAGGTTCCCCCACATCGTGGTTGGGGAGATGGCTTCTAGGGCTGGGTCTGAAACCATGTTCTTGCTTCTGGAGGCTGCTCGAAGGCCCCCTTCTTCATATGAAGGTCAACAGTTCGCAGGACTCCTAAGTGGTAGGCATTGAACTTTCAAGGGCCCAGCTCCCGAGAGCTGGAACCCCATGGGGGCCAAGTGTAGGGTCTTCCAGGAGAGCAGAAAGAAGGCCCTGTTGGACAGTGGGTCTGGCTGCCCCCCCTGCTGGAGAGAGAAGAAAAGAAGGTGAGGGGCCAGTAGGGCCGGGAGGAGTCAAAGCAGCGGAGGGAGGGGAAGGAGGGCAACTCACTTGGTACAGACATACAGCCCCGCCTCTTCTCCCCTGGAATAGACAGCTTGGTGAGCCTTCATGTAGACAGACCCTCACACTACAAACACCCCTTCCCACCAGGCTCTGGCACTGGCCGTTCCCCTTCTCAATCCATCTTTTCCTTCCCCTAAATGCAAACTTCTGGCTTCCTTTCCTCCTCCTTACCCCAGGAAATCTCCCCAGATAGCCTATCCATCCCTGCTCCCTGCCTAGCCCCAGTCACTGCTCCACTCTGTCCCTGCCTCCCCACTTGAGAATAGCACAGATGTATCTTGTGGACCCGTTAAGCCCAGGGCCTCCTGAGATGCAAAGCAGCATTCCTGTCACTTCCCTCTCCTTGCTGATGCCCTGGACTGGGCTCTTTTGCTCTACTAGACTCTATAGCACATGGAACCTTTTGAGCACATTTACAGAATCATTTGAGACTATGCACAGATCTGGAAAACACTGACAGGACCTTCTAAGAGCTGGTAGGACCTAAGTCACGGAGAACCGTAACTGCAGCTGACTTCTACCTTTAACCAACTAGATCTCCTGAAGGTCCTGGGGATCGATAGGGACATCTTGGCTTATTTCACCCTCTTTGCCAGTCCTGCTTCCCTCATGCACAGCTCACCACCCAGATAGGCGCAGTTAAAGTGGCTGCAGGTCTTATTTTGGCTCCAGAGAGTCACTAGGTTCCGGGCTCCATCTTGGGAGAACCTGGTGACCAAGAAGACTTCGTGGGGAGGGATCAGCACCTCGCGCTCCTTGGGAAAAACAGACAGGGCCTCGATGGGGGCCCCAAAACAAGTCCTTAGGGAGAAGAAGGTGGCATTACCAAACCTGAGGGCCACTGCCTCATCCAGGGAGCTGGAGGCAAACTGGCCCAAGCGGATAGAGTCCCCCAACCTCTTGGGTTCAAAGCGAAGGGTGCCTACACCTCGGAACACCACCTGCCCAGGTCCCCTGCTGCAGCCCTTGCTCCCCTGTAGCAACTGCAGGGCCCGGGTCAGGTAGAAATGCAGGGCCTTGAAGGGGAAGTGCCTCATGTAGTGCTCCCAGGAGACACCGCCTGTCTGCACCGCCTGGTTCAGCTCCCAGTACAGGTTGTTAGATGAGTTGGTGTAGACCATGATGGCGATTCCGTGCTGGGATTTGAAGCCAGGGGGCAGTGTGAGCCCTCGCTGCTTCTGCTCCCAGGCCTCCTGGGCTGCCTCCCAGGATTCCCGCAGCAGCGCATGGCGGGCCATCTCCTCCTTCATCAGAAGGGCTGCCTTCTCCTCCATCTCCTCTGCGCAGCCCACATAGGCATCATCAAAGGTGTCTGGAGCCAGGCCCAGGAGCAGGATGGGAACAGCCTGGGCCTAATGTGGTAAGGAAGAGAGGAGCCACACAGGAAAGGGTATAAATTCAGAGCATTGGACAGGGACCTGGTGGCAGATCAGTTCGGAGTCACAAAATCTCATTTTTTTATGCCCAAATAACTGGTGTATACAATTTGGCAAGAGCCCAAGGGCTTAAATAACACAGGCACTGGAGTCAGAGATGGGTTCATCACCTACTAGCTGTGGGATCTTGGCCAGTCTCTTAACTCTTCCGGGCTTCAGGTTCTCCACCTATAAATGCATACTTCCAACTCCATAGGGTTATTATGAGGCTACAACCTAAAAGGGGTCATCTTGTCATTAAAGAGGTCCCACACTCAGAGTGAAGGAGGGCTAGCTGGCTTCCAAGCGCTCTTCTGGCTCTAAGACTCAGTGTGCAGATGATGCACAGATGTGCCACTGTGTCCCAATTACCTGACCCAGCCCCCTACTCAGACTCTCCCATACAGTGCTCAGCCACCATACCAAATCCCTGTCAGCTCTGAGACTCCGAGTGTTCTCCCCTGGTCACCCCCAGACCTGGAGAGGGGTGGAGAGGAGCCCTGGTCCCGGGGTGGCCCAACCCACTTTGCCTAGACTGAGCCTGAGACGGGAAATTGGGGGTGAGGAAGTTAGAGGCCGTTCCTAGGGAGGGATGAGTATGAGGGAAGGAGGATCAGTGGGTGAAGATGGGGGTTCCGGTAGAGGCGATGGGAACTGGGGGCTCCCTGCAGGGAGGAAGGCTGCAGAGAGGAAGAGGATTAAGAGGACCGGGGTCTTAGAGAACAGTCCCTGGGAGAGATTTTTGAGGAGTTCGCCCCCCAGCTCTTTCCTGTGTGGCAGGGGATGGTTCCCCCAGTTACCTGCCAGAAGGCGTGAAGGCCCAGGCAGCTGAGGGTGAGCAGCAGAGCAGCCTGCATCATCTCTGGGGGAGACAGGAGAGCGAGGTCCGGAGGCGGGTGGGATCAGCGGCAGCGGTGCAGCCTTGGCGTCAGCGGCTGGAGGAGGAGACCCACACCGTTTCTTCTGTGGAGTGAAGAGGGTCCAGGACGCGGGGCCCTGGCCTGGGCGGAGCCAAGGGAGTGGGCAGGGCTTGGGTATCACTGTCTCCGCCCCCCCCCCCCCCCCCCCCCCCACCGGCACAGCCCCAAGTCTCGGCTCCTCCGACTCCCAGATGCCCCGACACTCCGTGCCTCTGCCCAGATAACTTTTTGCCGTGGTCCAGGTGATCTGACTCCACCTGGCGAGGGGCGGGGCAGGGACCTGGCACCCACCTGGAGGTCACGGAGGCCGAGAGAGCGGGAAGGTGTGGTCAGGCCAGCGGGTGCCGGTTGGTCGGTGTCTGGACGGGCGGGCTGGTCCCGGGAACCCAGCGGACCCGCTGAGTCCCACAGCTAACTATAGCCCCCGGCAGTAACCCAACACCTCTCTTGCCCAACGACAGTCGCTGTGGCCGGGGAGCAGGAGGGTGAGGAAGGGGCTGAATGGCTGACTCCCCTTCCCAAACTGCGAGTTCTTTCTCCAGGACCCTCTTTGGGTCCACGCAATTCCAGGGCTGGGGGAGGGAGCTGGTGAGACTTGGCCTCTCCCTCAGGGCTGCCTAACCCGGTAGCCAGACCCTTAGGCCTGGGAACCCAACGAGGGCCGCCCCCCTCCCCCACCCCGGCAGGTCAGCATTTGCGTACTCGCTGATTTGCATGCAATTTGCATATGGTTCACTCTTTAGGGCCCCCACCCCTCCCTTCTCTTCATCCCCCTTCTCTGTCGGTAGGGTTGGACCAGATGCAGAGCTCGAAGTTTCAGATCCGCAAGGTCCAGCCCGACCCCCGCCCAGACCCGTGTTTATAAACACAGCCTTTCCCCTCCCCTACTGTGGGCCAGTCTATAAATAACCTGGCTCTGAGCTTCGGATGCCCAGTCAGAGGGAATGGGGGAACGGGCCAGCCGAGGAATCAGTAAGCAGCTCTGGGAAGAACTTTCTGAGGGCCTGAGCCTCTAGGGACGAGAGAGGTACGCCCCCAGAATGGCCAGAGGAGTTGGGGTTCCTGTCAGGACTGAAGAGACTGCCCACTTCCTGCTGGGGCTGAGGTGGGCATGGAGATTAGATTTACCCCAGGCTTCCATCCTAGTCTGGCTCATTAGTTTAGCCCCATCCCCTCAGATACCAACCAAATAAAAAATTTCCTTCACCTCGAATCCTGCTTTTTCTAAAAAGCCTTTCTGTAGACGAATAAGGAAGGTGAACTGTGTTTGGGCTGGGGTGAAGGCGGGAGGTGGAAAGAGTGGCATTTCAGCCCGGCTGGCGTGGCTCAGCAGTTGAGCTCACATCGACCTATGAACCAGGAGGTCACGATTCAATTCCCAGTCAGGGCACATACCCGGGTTGCAGGCTTGGTCCCTGGTGGGGGGCATGCAGGAGGCAGCCAATCAATGATTCCCTCTCATCATTGATGTTTCTATCTCTCCCTCTCCTTTCCTCTCTGAAATTAAAAAAAGAAAAAGAAAAGAAAAGAAAAAAGAGTGGCATCCCAAAAAGCAAGAATGCTTCTCAGGCAGCAGCTTCAAGACAAGTCCTTCTGCCCCTCCAAAGAGACTGGCCACACCCAAGGTCCCCTCGATTAGAAGAAAATCAGAAGCCGCTCTACTGTTGAGCATTACTGTGAAAAGCAGCATCTGCTTCCATACCCTGCCTGCCGGGAGGGACTGGAGCGTTTGCTGTCGCTGGAACGGGAGACACTGTCTGGGACAGTAAGGCCTGCTGAGACCGTTCCTGGGAACAGGTCTAATGGGATCATGGCTTTGTCCTCTCTCCACCCTCTGGCTTTGGGGAATTGTTCCCAAGACTTGGAAACCCAAGAAAGACCCCAAGAGAGGGAGTCAAATCTAGCCATTGAACAGGTCCAGAGTGAGGCAGGAAGTCCTCCAAGATTACATGGCAAATCGGCGCTGGAGCTGGGACCCAGACCCAGCCTTCTTGATCTGGGAATCTCTCCTTCACCTTAGGTGAGTCTCCATGCTCACCTGAAAGCAACAAACCTGAGGGGATGTTCTCTGAGGCCAGGGGTGCTGAGCCCAGGACCAAATCCAGGCAGGAGGCTGCTGTTCCAGCCTGGAGCCTCCACGCTCCTGCCTACCTTGTCTCTAGCTTCAGGGATTCCCTTTTTTTATGGGGAGAGCACTGGCCCAGGACAGACTGGGCAGAGGCTAGTGTTCCTGAGCCTGGAGGAGATATCCAGAAATAGATGGGGGAGTGTCACCTTTCTGAGCAGCTGTGTGGGGGAGGTACAGTATAAAGGAGGAACCTGCCCGCCCCCTCCCCGGCGGCCATCACAGGAGACCAACACCAGCTTCCCTGCCCTGGAGAAGCCCTAGGTAAGGGGCACGCCACCCTCTCCCGGCACTGGGCAGGGTTTTTTTAGGGGAAATTCGGGGTTTTAATGGAGTTTTAGGGATCATTGGGACAAGTTTTAGGGAGTCTTTTACCTTAGTCGGTTGTATCTGTCTCTTCTACTTCTGAAGGCTGGAAGTCCAAGGTCAGGGTGCTAGCACCGCCAGGTGAAGGCTCCGCCCTGGATCACAGCCCATACCTTTTCACTGTGCTCACAGGTGGAAGGGAGCTCTGTGGGGTCTCTTTTATTAGAACACTAATCCCATTCAAATAGGCTCCGCCCTCAGGAACTAATCACCCCCCAAAGGCTCCACTTTCTAATACCATCACACAGACATTAGGATTCCAACATGTGAATTTTGGGGGGACACAACATTCAGGCCATAGTACCTTTGGTTGAGAGGTTTGGAACCACTGGGGAATTTGGGGGTTCCTGGGGAGACATATAAACTCACATCCCCAGAGAGGATTGTTCAGCGAGGGCCTGAATAAGGGGAAGCTGACAAGAAGTGTTCGGAGCAGATGAGGACAGAAGGGCAGCTGGGATATGAAAAAGGGCTGCCTGGTGCCTCCACTTCCTTGACTCCCAAGCCTCCCGGTTACTCTGGCCCCCCACTCCATTTGCCCACAACACTGGTCCCCAAAGTCATTGATCCACCTGCTTGCAGTGGTCTACCTTGCTAGTTGCACCCAGAGAGCCTCTCAGATTCTCAGCAAATATTCCGGGAGGCCTCACCTGGGCCTAGCCTTGGGCTGACCTCTGGAGACCACGAATGGATCATAAGGGTCTCTTCCCTCAGACACTTGAGAGCAGCACTGTATGATCAGGATGGACACAGAAAACCATGGGGTGATACAGGAGCCCAGAGGGCTTCCTGGAGGAGGTGACCCTTGAGCTAAGCCTGGAAAAATGAGTAGCAAAGGAAGGGCATTCCCAGCAAATGGCAGTGTGTACAGAGCCACGGAGAGGAAAATAGCAGAGCCTTGCCTGGAACTTTGTTCTGTACTGTAGAAGCCAAGCAGAGGTGGTGGGGCAGGAGGCTAAAGAGGTCCCAGAGGGCCCCTCACAGAGGGCCTCAAACACCAGAGGAGGTTGGGTTCTGTCCTGAGAGACTCTGATTGGCCTTGCTTTTGTCATGTGTCCATCCATGAACCAATCACAATGGCCAGGGTGGTAGAGCACCAGTTTGGAGTCATATGTTCAGCCCATGAGGGTAAGCCCCACCTGAACCCATGGGCTGGATTCTCCACAAGAAAGAGAGGATCCTATATAATAAAGAGGTAACATGCAAATTAACCCTCACGCCCTCACAAGATGGCTGCCTACAACCAGGCCAGCAGGGGCATTAGTGAGGGACGACCAAACAACTGAACAAGCAGGCTGCGTGGGGTGACCAGGCCCACGTGGGGGCCGTGAGGGACAACCAGGCTGGCAGGGGTGCAGGTGGGCGCGACCAGGCCAACAGGGGGGCATTTGAGGGTGATTAGGTTGGCAGGGGGGCAGTGAGGGGTGACTAGGCCGGTGGGGGGGGGGGACAGGTAGGAGCAACCAGGCTGGCAGGGAGGGAGCAGTTGGGGGCGACTTGGCCAGCAGTGGGGGGCAGTTAGGGGTGACCAGGCAGGCAGGCAGGTGAGCGATTAGGAGCCAGTGGTCCAGGAATGTGAGAGGGATGTCCGACTGCTGGTTTAGGCCTGATCCCCGGGATCGGTCCTAAACCGGCAGTCAGACATCCCCTGAGGGGCCCCAGATTGAAGAGAGTGCAGGCTGGGCTGAGAGGACCTCCCACCTCCGTGCATGAATTTTGTGCACTGGACTTCTAGTCTATTATAGAAGCTCAAGCTTCTTGCGTGGATTCCAAGGGACTACAGCCAAGAGTTCAAGTAGATTTTTCTGCAACATACGCTGCCCATTAGAATTCCCTCTTGGAGTTGGGGAGCAGAGTCTCATGCTTTATGGCCCACGGTGATGCTGTTTTCAATTCTATATACTCTGTGCCTCCTCTGGTCAGCTCTTCACCGAAACCTCACTCCTGGTACAATTTGTTTCTGTTAGGCTCTTTTGGTTCCTTCTGTATCATGCATCACATGCTACTTGAAATTACTCCAGCCCCATTTCCACTTCAAAAGAACTTAAAAAAGCAGGGGTGTGGGTTTTGTTGTTCATAATTTTTTTTATCCTCGCCTGAGGATATGTTTATTGTGTGTGAGAGAGAGAGAGAGAGAGAGAGAGAGAAACATCGATGTGAGAAAGAACATGAATTGGTTGCCTCCTGTACATGCCCCCTATCAGGGATCTAACCCGTAACCTAGATATGTGCCCTGACTGGGAATATCTACATCCTTTTTGGTATACGGACGACACTCTGACCAACTGAGCCACCCAGCCAGGGCTGCTGTTCATAATTTTATCCTCAGTGCCTGATACATTACAGATGCTCAAAATTTTTTTTGTTGAGGGAGAGAAGATAATGAATTCAGTTTGGACATGCTGAACTTGATAAATATTGCTGCTATCTCTACTGCCCGGAGAAGCTCAGGCCTCAATTTAAACTGTACATTGGCAAGATATAAGATCTTATATTTGGAGACTCATAACATTATAAACACATAAAATCCCAGTGTCTTAGAGTCAATGAACTGCCCAAACTTAGGCCCCACCAAGAGCCAGAGGGGAAGATGGAGCAGAGATGCTTAACCTGAGTGACACTGGGGCAGAGGCATAACCACCTGAAATTTATAAAATGTTTTGTGTTTTTTAAAAATATATTTTTATTGATTTCAGAGAGGAAGGAAGAGGGAGAGAGAGATAGAAACATCAATGATGAGAGAGAATCCGGCTCCCTACTGCACGCCGCCCTCACACTGGGGGATTGAACCCACAACCCAGGCATGTGCCCTGACTGGGAATTGAACTGTGACCTCTTGGTTCATAGGTTGATGCTCAACCACTGAGCCACACCGGCCGGGCAATTTGTGAAATATTCGTGTGAAGAGTATTTCACACGAATATTCTTAGCTTAGCTTTCATCAGATTCTCAGTCTTGGCTATCATCAAATTCTCAAAGATAAAGAACCACTGACTGCATTATCATTTGTGCAAAAGAAGGGAAGCAGAAATGCCTGTGGATTTGCTTGTGTGTGCGTAGTGTACTTCTGGAAGGATACACAAAGAAACAGTCACATTGGTTGCCTCTGGGAGATGAGGTTGGAATTAGGGAATTAGTGAGAAAAACACATTTCACTGTATGCCTTTGGACTATTGAAATTTTGAACAAGAAAAATGTACTACCCTTTAGAAAAGTAAGTAAAAACTATAAAATTAAAGTTATGATTGATCCT